GAGCTGCAACGTAATTTAAGATGCATTAATGTAGAATTTACTCTATGTAATTTGTTGGGGGGAGGTAACCATAATGATAATGTACAACAGAAAATATTTCGATTTTTTACTCTATTCATATTGAAGTCAGGTAGGATAAGCGAGCTGTAGGTTGCCATGCAACAGCTGTATACAAGCATGCATGGTAGTCATGTACATGTTTGATTGCTGCTGCTGCTTATGTTCTATCTACTGATGTTGTTGGCTTATTTATCAAAATCTAGGCATGTCTTTTAGGTGTTTGAAGTAGGTAGGGAGGCTGTACCAGCATTCATTTACCTTTTATGCTTTGCTTCAAATGAGCATTTAGTCTTAAGTCCATTTACTAATACTTGTCTCCTTTAAAACTCCTCAAATCCTATATGGAGCTACCTGAGAACTGTTCTCTCTTAAGAGAGAACTGACTAGCTTCCCGTACCAAGAAGCTAAAAACTTAACCAACAAGCTCTCAGGCCCAATGGTCATCCCATCAGGCAGACCTGTGGCTTTATGTCCACCCAGCGTGGACCCCCCGCAAAGAAGAAGAAGCTTGGACCCCCATGGGCTATGGGGTTAGGCCCCTCAAAGTGCGAGACTTGCTGGGCAGAGAAGACTTCACACGGAACACCCAGTTTGCCATTGTAAAAGCTATGGTTGAATACATCAAGAGTACCTGGACACCTGAATAATCTCTAAATTTCTGAAAGCTGGTCATTGGTCAAGACTGCCGTGAAAGTTGAAGCAATATATACTTCAAAGTTCAAACTAAGCACCCCATTGAAAATCATTTGATGAATCCAGGTGGAACAAGTGCCCTGTTGAGGGACATTTATGCAACATCAAAACGGACTACAAATCTACAATACAATATGAGAAGTTATCTAGTGACATAACATATAATAACATAACATAATGACATAACATATAACATATAATAACATAACATAATTTTGGCGCTCCAAGTATGAACGGGTTCAAGAACAGAGTCAACAGACTAGAATAACTAGATAAAGCTATGGAAAAATATATGTTCAGCTTTGAAATGCCTAGCAGTCTAGCACCATATTGAACCGAGTGGAAGTCGAGTAGCTATTTCAAACTTTTGTCAGTTTTGAAAAGATACGGTCAAATGACACGATTTTTTTTATCTTCTGTGAACAAGGCACGAAAAGGAAAAGAATCTGCGACAGGCCACATCAGGCCTACACTGCAGTGCCAAGATTACTATGTTATGTTATGTTATATCATAGTGATGTCAGCGCTGAAGAGTAGGCCTGATGTGGAATGTTGCAACTTGCAGATTCTTGAACTTTTTGTGGCTTGTTCACAGAAGATCTAAAATTGTGTCATTTGACAGGATCTTTTCAAGACTGACAATAGTTTGAAATAGCTACTACCTAGGGTAAATGCGGTATATTCCGACACATTAAGGATGCATCGTCGCATCGAGAAATGAAAAACTGTAAAAAAATAACCATATGTGTTACTCGAGTTCTGTATGCTTTATGTGACTCTCAAAACACCGCACTACGCGCCAGCAATGATGAAACGTCACAACCTGTTGCCATATTTATTTAGAAGCCTTTAGAATGCAAACCTACCAAATCCATATATTCCAACACTGTGTGTGACTAAATTTGGCTCGTGGTGAGACGAATTCCGGCCGTGCTTCAAACTCTACTAATACGTAATTCCGACATCCTTGTGTTTGAATTCCGATCGCTGTGTGATTTTTAGATGTTGTAAAATATTTTAACTGAAATACAAAAGACCAAGAGAATGAAAGCAAACAGAGATCAGTAGCTGCCGAAAAATTATTTTCTACTTTTGAGTCCACATGAAAAACGTGGTCTTTAAAATTTTTTTTTATACATTTTATGTGACTCTCAAAACACCGCATTACGCGCCAGCAATGATGAAACGTCACAACCTGTTGCCATATTTATTTAAAAGCCTTTAGAATGCAAACCTACCAAATCCATATATTCCGACACTGTGTGTGACTAAATTTGGCTCGTGGTGAGACGAATTCCGGCCGTGCTTCAATCTCTACTAATACGTAATTCCGACATCCTTGTGTTCGAATTCCGATCGCTGTGTGAGCTGTATTGGGATACGACACGGCTTTGAATTAGAACACTATTGAATATTGAACACTACTTAATTAGGCTTTTAATTAACAGCTATTAAGCTTTTAATTAAGAAAATTTTTATTTTTGCACACAGCTCGGAATGAGCTGTGTGTGTCCAATTCAAGTTGTGTTGGAATTAGTTTTTATGTGTCTAAATCCATTTCTTTACTTAATCATCTATTTATTTACCACTTGAAATCAGCAAATACAAGTATACTTAAAGGATTTCTAATATATCACAGACTTGTTTGAAAGTCTCAAACCATAATATTCTTTCTACACAAACAGTTTATCACTATTTGTTAGAGCAAGGTCAACTGTCAACTTTGACACATTTTTTGATGATCTCACTGGGTGGCATGAACTGTCTCTCTTTGGATCTCAACATTTTCATGCCAGGCAGCCCAGACCTAGTGTTTTGGCAATAGTTTGACGTGCAAAGGTATGATGTCAGCATGTCACTATTTCAACCATCAACGAATGCATGGATCTAAGACAAAGCTTAATATAAAGGAAAAACTAGAGAGGTGTCGAAATTACCCACGATGTTGGAATATACTGCGTTTACCCTACTAGACTTCCACCGGGTTTGATATGGTGCTAGGCATTTGGCATTTCAAGTTTGAACATATATATTTCCATAGCATGATATTGATAGCTTTATCTAGTCTGTTCTTGAACGCGTTCATACTCGGAGCACCAACAATGTAATAAGGGAGGCTGTTGTTCCACATGTCAGTGCAAACTTTTGAAGCGAGAAGAAATGTTAATGCATGGACAAGTTGCAGCGTAGTTTTTTTTAGTTCATAGCTGTGGTCCGTGGTGTTGGTTCTTGTTTCAAATTCTAGTGATCCTTCAGGGACCTTTTATAAACCATGAGTATACTTGTATATCAATGTGGCTGTGGAATAATCACTTTGCAGTTGGCACAATGTTCACAAGACTCTGTTACTGTCAGTTTGTCACTATATTATTATACAACTTTGCAGGCTTTGGTAGTTTAGGTACAATCTAAATGAATAATTTGAATTAATAAGTTATGCATTGCAAGAATTACTAGCTTAAATTTTGCAAAAAAAAAGTTGTTTTCCTGGGTCTACAGTCCACAGTTCCACTCCACTTGTACACTTATTACACTACAGTCTACACTCTACAGGTACACAGATAACAGATTAATGCATTCCCTGCATATTGGGCCTTATGTCTACCATCAGTACCAACAATAAAATTCCTCTGCTGCATATTGCCTATATTGGAACATCAGAGTACCTACTAAATTTTAATGGAGTTTTGATATAACACAAAATTACAAATAACTTAAAATTTTGTTGGTAATCTTTCTCTTTTTGGAATATTTGTGTTCACATTAATGATGAAAAGAATTAGGTATTTATTTCAAGAGTTGTGCATTTCAGAACATGTTAAAAGTTATCTGGAACTTTTGGAACTTTTTTAGCAGCAGTAGCCACTAGGCACAAGCCAGTGGAGAACAATGATCATTGTCCAGTAATGAATAAAGCAGTGGTGCAGAACACTCAGTCTCAAGGTACTAGAAGTAGAAGGTAGTAGGTCTAGGCACTGTCAGGATTTGGGATTGCAAGGATCACTTCATCACTACTCACCACCACCAGGCCTGTCTGCTCCAATCCTGGTACTCTGAACTGTAAACACTGGGCCACCCTGCCTTAATGTTGGCCTTAACTGCCTTACTTGAGGCTGAGCCGCTGAGGCATCTTATGTTATGGCATCATTGATTAAAAGTAAAGTGGTTCTCAAAATCATGTAAAATGCAATGTGGTTTCAAATTCACAAGGTCATTGAAACTAGCTTTGTTATTTAGTGTACTTGCTGAACTGTTCACAATGCACATGATGACATAACAAGTTTACTGAAGAAAGTTGATTGCAGCAATATTGCAGAACAGTGAACTTCATTGAGCAAAGATGAATCTAGTTTTAAACATCAATGAAAATTTTTGAATCATATCCTCTGATTTTCTATAGTATTAGATTTTTGTATAATTTTGTTTCAGGTTAAAACTTTTCACTAAATTGTAATTTTGTAATAAACTGATTTAATTTGTGATCAGTTAAGTGCAGTCATGTCCTACAACACAAGCAAGTGCCGTGTCATGCTCTACCGACTTTCTGAAGCAGTAGTCCAGAGAGGCCGGTGTGCTGAGCAGAGCCTTGACCTTACTGAAGTATTGGCTGGGGCTTGCAGAGTCAAGTTTGAAGGTGGGCCATAAATTTTATTGAATTTTAAACATGGAACATGGTACTACTGTCTGGATTTATTTTTAAATTTTCTGTTTAAATCTTTCAAAAAATGCCAATCAATAGTATCTACATATATACCGTACATCCTGATATTGGTGGTCAGTCATGGATGTTATCTACTGGTTGAGGCTTAGTTTTGTTCCCATCAGGGCCAGCACTCTAAGCTGCCTATGCCTCTAACTAGGTATATTCCAAGCTAGTTATATCTTGTGTCTTAATGCTTATTAGCTGCCTGTAAGGCTTTAACTATATTCTAAGTAAGTCATATCTTGTGTCTTATAAGCTTAGCTCTGCACTAACTCCACAATAGTAAGCATTTTTCTTCCTGAAAATGAATGCTTAATGGTTTTTTCAGTCAGACAAGTGGCTGCCCCACTTCAAGTCCTTCAAGTTCCGGCTAATGGCATTAAGAAGGAGTTGGAGGATGAAATGGAAGACATAACTGTGAAGGAAGAACCGTTCTTATATGAAAACAAGGTAGATAATATAGTATTAATTAAATTAGCCCAGAATGGTATTTTTTGTATTATTCACCAAATATGATATGTGTAAATATGATATGTGTTTTATTGTTCATTGTTATCTACAACCTTGAAATTATTTGTGATGTGATATGCTCTGATTTACACTTTTGGGGCCATACTTTCAAAATTTACTAAGTGAACGTAAGTACTTACGCTCTATTTTCTTGTCTATGATTGGTGGATTCTGGTCAAAAGGCCATCAATGATTGGCTGATGAACTTACGATCTCTTGACTTTTTTTGAAAGTATAGGCCCAGTGCTGTAATGAGCTCATTTTATCTCAACTGATGTTTACAAATTTTCTGGCAGGCTTGTTCACCTGAGGTTGCCAGCCCAGCTCACATTAACCAGCAAGCTCCCTCTCTCGCATCCTGCAAGCCATGCAAAATGGAAGACCTTGATAATCATGAGGCTCACCAAATTTTAACTGTCAGTTCTGCTGAAGCTGGAAACCTGGTGAAAAATATTTTTAAAAGTGATTACATTTATAAGTTATAAGAAAATTTTGTATCATAGCAACTGGAAAGCCAGAATTGAATGTCATCTCTTTCATTGAATAAAAAATAGTTTATTATTCAAAAAGCAATCCTTTATCCTTGGATCAATGGTAATGTTACATGTGCAAGAAATATCTTATCCATTAGGATTAGGTATAGTCATTCCTATCAAAATCTATTTCTGATGTAAAATATTGTCTGTCTTTGTCCCACCAGCGTGGTGAAGCAGAGACCTCAACAACTGAAAGAGCCTCAGAAGATGCTGGCGGAGTTGACGTCAACGCTGAAGTATCCAGCTTGCAGCACCTTTCCAAAACTGTGGCTTCTCGGGGTCAGTTTGACAAGAAAAAATTTACTGCTGGAGTGCAGCACAAAATTCCCACTGCGCATCCACCAACAAAGCCACACTCATGCCTCGGCTGTGAATATTGTATAAATACCATGAATAAACTGCCTCAAACTAGTCATGCAGGGCATTCTGGAGAAATTTTGTGTCCCTCCAGAGAAATAGCGAGAGACAATGTTGTTCTCTGTAAAAATTCACCACATAACGTCCTCTACTGTTTTCAGTGTGAATTTACTAGTTATTCAAAATACCATTTAATCCGTCATTTCTTTCATAGGCATTCTTCTACAAAACCTCTCAATTGCTCAAAGTGTGAATATTCTTGTGTCACGAAGGAGAGTCTGAAAATTCATTTTCTGTCCAGGCATTCATCTCAAAGACCTTTCAACTGCTCACAGTGTGATTATTCTTGTGTCCTAAAGTCGGCTCTAAGTCGTCATTTGATTTCCAAGCATTCTTCTACCAAGCCTTTCAACTGCTCTAAATGCAAATACTCATGCGCCAGAAAAGAACATTTGAAGTATCACATTCTTTCTAAACATTCATCGCAGAAACCTTTCAACTGCTCACAGTGTAATTATTCTTGTGTGTTAATGGCTAGTCTAAATAATCATATCCTTGCTAAGCATTCAACTAAAAAACCTTTCACGTGCTCGAAGTGTGAATATTCTTGTGTCACAAGGAACAATCTTGATCGCCACCTGCTTGCTAAGCATTCCACTAAAAAACCTTTCAAGTGCTCCAAGTGTAAATATTCTTGCGTTGCAATTGATTTGCTGAAAAAACATGTTCTGTATAAGCATTCCTCTGAAAAACCTTTCAAGTGCTCCGAGTGTGAATATTCTTGTGTTTCAAATTATGACCTGGAAAAACATGTCATGTTTCGGCATTCCTGTGAGAAACCTTTCACTTGCTCGCACTGTGAATATTCTTCTGCCGCGAAACAGAATTTGAATCGTCATGTACTAAAACATTCATCTCTGAAACCTTTCAGCTGTGCTGACTGTGAATATTCTTGTACAACAAAACCGCAGTTAAAATGTCATATTCTCTCTAAGCATTTATCTACAAAACCTTTCAAGTGTACTGAGTGTGAATATTCATGTGTCACAAAATCGCGACTGAATCAACATATTATTTTTAAACATTCATCTAAGAATTTTTTCTGCTCGGACTGTAAATATTCTTGTGCCACGAAACAGAAGTTAAAAGCACATGCTCTCGTGCATTCACCTATAAAACCTTTCAAGTGCGAAGACTGTGAATTTTCTTGTTCCGCTAAAACGCAACTAAAATATCATATTCTCTCTAAACATTTGCCAACAAAACCTTTCAAATGCTCAGAATGTGAATACTCGTGTGTCAAAAAATGTCAACTAGATCAACATATTACTTCTAAGCATACGTACATCTAGTTCTAGTATACTCCTTTTAGCTGCTCAGCGTGTGAATATATGTGTGTAGGTACATAAAAGCTAGCTAAATTCTCATATTCTCTTCAAGCATTCTTCAATGAAACCTCTCAGCTGTACGGAGTGTTATTATTCTTGTGTCACAAAATTTCAATTAAATTCTCATCTTATTTCCAAGCATTCATCAAGTAAATCATCCAGCTGCACAGATAAACTCTTGCAACTAAACCATATTTAAATTCCATATTCTCTCTATGTATTCATCTAGTAAGCCTTTTAACTGCGCGGAGTATGACCATTCTTGCGTCACTAAACAGCAACTAAATAATCACGTTCGTGCTAAGCACAAGTAGATCAGCCTCTGCACTGCAACGAGCGGTTATATGCTCGTTTCCCTTAATTAATAATTTACAATCCATAATATTATTGCCATTATTTGAAGACAACAATTCAGTGTTCTTTCATTGCTTTGCCTTATTCAATAAATGATCATGGAATCTCTTGTTTCCCTAATATTCGCCTCAGAAGCCACTTCGATGCTCCAAGCTGTAAGTGCACCAACCATTTTCTGGCTTTGGATTTTCGATGCAAATTTTTATTGCTTACTTTAAAATTATTAAACAATTCGATGGCATATCAAAGGACCTGTCATGACCTAGTTCTCATCAATTCATCCTAGTCATCGGTGGGTGGTGTTGCCTTAATTTTTAACACGTTCGCCAAATTGTCGTGGCTGCAAATGTATCTGTAAAACTGAAATATGTCCTTACCTATCAAATGATTAATCTTTACGCATACGTTTCTTCCAATTTACTGATAAGTACGTGCAGATATGCTTTCTTATCCCGAAACATTGCTCCTCATTTCACTCAGCAATTAAAACAATTTCAGAATAATTCGTTAACTATACCACCGTTTGATCAAAGGCTCTCTATCTTGTCTTGGAGATCAAAAGTGAAGACAAGACATTCGAATTTTCATTCTTCTTTCAGATAAACGCAGTGAACGAATTAATAACATTGAAGGTTAAGGTGCCGTTGAGAAACAACGGCACTTTGAATGGTTGAAACGTTTCATTTTGAGCCCCGTAAAAAAAGTTTTTTAAATGTTTTCGAAACAATAGGAGTCGCAGTTTATGTTGACATGGTCAAAAATAGTACATTCAAAATTCATCGTTCAGATGTATGCCACGAATAACCTATTGACAGTCACGTGTCGAACAGTAAAAATTAATTAGTATGTTGCGAAAACAATAGTTCGAGAAAAATTCAATCGCAGTTCGTAAATTCAATAACGCTGGATGAGATGACCTCTTTCAATATTTTTCCTCAAGATCTGCAGGACGTTAAAGATATTTTAGGCCCGGAGCATTTACAATACAACGTGCAGAAATATAACATGGAATCACAGACAAGCTGGTGACTGTGTGAGAATTGGATAGAACTTGTGTCGAAGCAACGAAACGTTACGAGAAGCAACGAGACGTCACGAGAAGCAGCGAGACGTCACGAGAAGCAGCGAGACGTCACGAGAAGCGACGCGAGACGTTACGAGAAGCAGCGAGACGTCACGAGAAGCAACGGGACGTCACGAGAAGCAACGCGAGACGTTACGAGAAGCAGCGAGACGTCACGAGAAGCAACGCGAGACGTCACGAGAAGCATTGAGGTAACGGGTGGCGGTACGTGGACTTGTCAGATGCGCAGTAAACGGGCTTGTCAAATGCCCGTCAAACGGGCTTGTCAAAAGTCCAACAAACGGGCTTGTCAGAAGCCCAGAAAACGGGCTTGTCAAAAGTCCAACAAACGGGCTTGTCAGAAGCCCAGAAAACGGACTTGTCAAAAGTCCAGTAGACGCACTTGTTAGAATCATAGCACCTGAACCTGATTACGACAGTAATGAATCAACATGATTGGGATCAACGCCGATGGCCTCTCAAGCTGAACCCATCAATTGAAGACGAATAATCGGCCACTTCATATACATGGCCGCTACGTCCATTTGGGCCGCTACGTGTACTTGGGTTGCTACGTGTTCCTCCGCCACTACGTCTCTACGGGTGCTTAGTCCGTTACGTGTACTTAGGTCGCTATATGTAGTAACGTTTTATCAGTCCGTCGCCAGGGCAGTAACCATGGTATAGTTATGGTCGCAAATTATGTCGCTGTTCATAATCTTATCGTGATTAACAATTTGTTTCTTTTACAATGATAACGGTTTGCCGGCCTTAAATCTACATCAGGCTTATCAGAAATTATAATGAGACGCGTGTGTGTGAATAATTAGATAAGAGATAGTAGATGCACGCATGCGACAGTGCAGAGGTAGCCTCCGTCTCGTAGTGATGCTAGGAAAATTGATCAAGACTAATTGCTAAAAAAAAATTCATTATTGATACAAATCAGCCTGATTTAGTAAGCACGGTCATGCTATAAGAAATTAATTAATTTAACTTGATGAATGTGTCAGGCTGGTGCGGACATTAAGATTTCGAAAAGTTTCATAATGAAAATTGGTCTTATATGACGTGCAAGTGTGAAATATTATCGTCAGTGGATGACTAATAAAGTGGAATTCTATTGCACTCTCGCATTATAAATTATTTGTCATAATAGCATTCAAGTTAAGAAATTACCCGTCGATAAATAAACGGCGAAAAAAAAACATGTAAAATAAAAACCTAAAGCCTCAAGATTTGGTTTACCCTCAAAACCTAAAGCCTCAAGATAACAAAACAATTGTAACAAGATTATTGTAACAAAAATCTAATATACCATAATCATAAAAAAAACCTCGGAGGGTACAAACAATACATGATAGTGATCACTGATACCGTCTGATATTCTGTGATACTCGAGGATCGTCCATGTTTTTCAATAAGGTACAGCACGTGCAACCATGTTGACCAGCGAATCACCATCACACCTCAACCAGTACCTCACCACATTAGCTGGTAACTATACCCTCATTTATATTCCATTGACGGCTCTTATTATTGTACATGAATAAATAAGTCATCCTTTCTCTGATTTCAATAGACTTTTTCGGACCATTTAACATTTTAGCTCCTAGTCTTCTAATTCTAACCACTTTTTATTGTCATTAAAAAACGTTATTTATCCTCATGAGAGTAAATAGAATACAAGATGAATTACAAATAGAGAAATAAATAAATCTATTCATGATTTTGACCAGGTGAGGTCCTGATACTTAGAACAGTAGAGATACTATAGATCACCACTGCATGTTTGTATAGTATAGTACCGTATTATACAGTATCTTCGGCGCTGAAGAATGGGCCTGGATAGGCCGGTCGCCGATTCTTGTACTTTTCTTGACTAGTCCACAGATCTAAAAAACTGGCTTTTTGATCAAATGAGTGTCAAGGTTCAACTCAACGACTGGTATACGTGGTACCAAGTTAATTCATGGCACTCATATCAGATGGTAAATACCAGCTATCAATAGCTACATGCGCAACTATAATTTCATGCGCAACAATTGACTGAAAATGTTTTAGAGTGACTCGTGATTTCAAAATTTAATTTGAAATGTGTATTAATCAACAATAAAGAATTAGTTTTTTTATAACTCCTAAGTGTCGGTTGTGTCCATCGGCGTCGGTGCCGTCTTGGGCTTCAACTCCCCGGCGTCCTACCAGCTACGCGTCCCTGTCAACGACACCGTTCCTGTGAACAACACTGTAGCCGTGAACAACACCTACAGGAACCCTTTAAGCGTGGAACATATATACGTGAACACTGCTGCTGGAAGTGGACAGGCTGCTGGTTACGACGACGAATACTCCTCCTATAATGCAATAAATAACAACGGGTTTCCCAGCTGGAAAAACGTTATTAACGAAATTCTATTTAATACGACATTTCCATCAACTAGCTCAACAATCAATAATAATATAAATAATATCAGAAGCCACGATCTATCACCGCTGAAAAGAATTTTTCCCTCGGATTTCTCTCCCACTTATTCAATGGGCGCCGAGGATATTACTCCTACGGCGCCCTCTGAGTTGGACGACACAGCGGACATTGTGATGTCCAGCGAGCAGCTGTCGTGGTTCATGTCGGTGTTCGCGCTGGGGGCGCTGGTGGGGGCTCTGGGCAGCGGTGCCCTCATGACCCACCTGGGCAAGAGGGGGGCGCTGATCGCGTCTACCGTGCCCTGCTTGCTGGGCTGGACAATGACGGGTGAAAAACTTGATTATAAATGCAATTTTGATAAATTTTGTTTCTGGCTGTAATTATGAACAGTAATATTGATTGTAGGGAAAGGTTAATGAAAACAAAGTAACGTAAATCTGTCGCTAAAAAACATGTAATGAAGAAGAATGTAATAATATAAATAACTAAACAACGTTTGATAGAAAGCCTTTAGACCGGGCGACACTCGCCCCCAGGCCTGTGTACGGCTTACCCCGCGCTGGTGACGGGCCGCGTCCTCACGGGCGTCTTCGTGGGCTCCAACGCCGCCGCCGCCAGCGCCTACGTCGGGGAGATTGCGTCCTGCGATATCAGGGGCACGTTGGGTACGTTTAGAGAGTGCCCTGTGATGTCAGGGGCACGTTGGGTACGTATAGCCAGTGCCCTGCGATGTCAGGGGCACGTTGGGTACGTATAGCCAGTGCCCTGCGATGTCAGGGGCACGTTGGGTACGTGTAGCCAGTACCCTGCGATATCAGGGGCACGTTGGGTACGTTTAGCCAGTGCACTGCGATATCAGGGGGACATTGGGTACGTATAGCCAGTGCCCAGTGATATCAGGGGCACGTTGGGTACGTATAGCCAGTGCCCTGCGATATCAGGGGCACGTTGGGTACGTATAGCCAGTGCCCTGCGTTATCAGGGGGGACGTTGGGTACGTATAGCCAGTGCCCTGCGTTATCAGGGGGGACGTTGGGTACGTATAGCCAGTGCCCTGCGATGTCAGGGGCACGTTGGGTACGTGTAGCCAGTGCCCTGCGATATCAGGGACACGTTGGGTACGTATAGCCAGTGCTTTGAGATATCAGGGGCACGTTGGGTACGTATAGCCAGTGCCCTGCGATGTCAGGGGCACGTTGGGTACGTATAGCCAGTGCCCTGCGATATCAGGGGCACGTTGTAGTGCTTTGAGATATCAGGGGCACCTTGGGTACGTATAGCCAGTGCCCTGCGATGTCAGGGGCACGTTGGGTACGTATAGCCAGTGCCCTGCGATATCAGGGGCACGTTGCGTACGTATAGCCAGTGCTTTGAGATATCAGGGGCACCTTGGGTACGTATAGCCAGTGCCCTGCGATGTCAGGGGCACGTTGGGTACGTATAGCCAGTGCCCTGCGATGTCAGGGGCACGTTGGGTACGTATAGCCAGTGCCCTGCGATGTCAGGAGGACGTTGCGTACGTATAGCCAGTAATAGAAGCCTTATAAGATGATCATGCGATAAGTTCCCGCTCTTTGCAGAGCATTAACTGGCTCTCTTGAGCGACACCACAAGTTGAGACGAGACAGCATTCACAGCAACCTTACCGGTTTTCTTGAATTATTATTGATGGTTATTAGCAATAATTATTTCCAATACAATGAGAGCTTAAGATATTGACCATACTATTGATAGTGCAAGTTTTGTATATTCAACCATATTCACGCAAAACCAGACAGTGAACAGCTTTGATGATGGGAGGCTACCGACAACAAGAACGAAAAGGTACGAAAAATATGAATCGTGAAACGGGCTTTCGAAGACACTTTAGATAAGGCGCTATAGGTTGTGATGGCTTGCTATCGGGAGGCGTTGGTCCGTTTATTAAGTTTACTATGCAATTTCCAGTCTATTCAATATTTAGGAAATTCCGCGCGATCGAACATGTTTAAAGTCAGACATACGTTTAACAAGCGACTATAACTCCGCGGTGTTGGCAGGGAGTTTTTACGAGCTAGCACTGGTGGTGGGCATCCTGCTGGAGATGGTGGTGGGGGCGTACACGACATGGCAACACCTCGCCCTCATCTCCATGTGCCCCACTATCATGTTCGTCATCCTCATGTTCTTCTGCAAGGAGTCCCCAGCACACCTCCTCATGAGGGGCAGGGAGCAGGAGGCGCGTCGCAATCTCCAGCATTTCAGGGGTATATGCGCAAAATTTCTGGACGCTTCTGTAGCTTCTTTTATCCTTCATTTTAATTTTTTAAATCAATGTTGAAGAATTATTTCAATATAAACAGTTATATCAGTTTTTTCTTCGCATTTTCTATTATTTCATCCATATCCTTACGTTTCATTTTTTATAAAAAAAATATGAATCTTTGGCGGTTATTTTACGCTAACGAATCTATGTCTCTATCCTCCTTTATGAAGTATTTGATGGAACAAATGGTGAAGCCCGTGTATTTGAAGTAGCAACTATATTAAAGAGATGAATTGATTGTAAAAACAGGAAATTCTGATCCCGAATGAACTCTTAATTGCATCCTACGTACAAACAATAGTTGGCTTTTGCACATCACATCGCCTTGATTAAATTGACGCATTTAGAAATGTTATTAAGGACAATCATCATTCCATAATAGCAATTAGTAATTAACCGCTTCAAAAGCCGTACCATAATCATTCTGATTGTGATATTGCATTAGCTGATTCGAAGATTATGGTAACTCAAAAGCAGAATTAATAATGCTTTACACATGCACGTTGTAGCCTAACATTCCCTCTTCAATCAATGTAATAAATTAAGTATATTTACAAAAAAATGTTGGAAATGATGTTCGGGATTATAGGTCCTGACTACTGCATCGATAAGGAGATCCATGATGTGCTGGAGTCCCAGAAGGAAGCGAAGGATGCTTCCTTCAAATTGAAGGACCTGAAGAAGCCCCACATTTACAAGCCCCTCATCATCACCCTCACCATCAGCGTCTTCGCCCAGCTGGTGGGCATCGAAGTGCTCACTTCCAACCTAAGCACCATTTTCAAGGTGAGTCTTGAGATGTATTGCACTATTTCCCGTGCATGTCTTCGTCAACCATTTGCCGGGTAGGTTTATCGGTTTGTACTACCTCTTCCCGATTTGTGTCGTACTGCAGCAGTGGAATAGTGCTACAGAGCCCTGTCAGCAGAATAGTGATTCTAGCAGCATCCTCTCATAATTTTTTCATACTGCATCATCTTCCATGGGTGTCTTGCTATTTGATGCATCATCTTTTCGATGGGTACAACAATCGTGACTAATTTTCTTTTGCAAAATGTACACTCTGCAACCTTGCAATCAAACTTACGGAGCATCATTCCTACCTCAGCCCTAACTACGCACCACATGGTTGCAGAGCACAGGCAGCAACATGTCGGAGAACTTGAGCAGCGTTATCTGCATCCTGGTGGAGATAGTCGCTGGTGTGGTTGCCATCTTTCTGGTGGATAGGGTGGGGCGCAAGACGCTACTCACCGTCAGCTCTGCCGTCATGACTGTGTCGCTGGGTGCGTACGCTGGATCATGAACGTGACTATTAACTAGCGGGTGCGACTACGTATTGAACTTTCTTAATATTACAGATTAAAAGCTTCTTGTTAAGAGATTCGAATTTGTTGTGTGCAAGTTCGAGGACAAGCCATCGGTAAAAAAATCTATGCATTCGCGTAGGTGAGGATTATAGGCACAGTATTTATAAACAGATGTTGATGCAAGTCTCAAGTATGTGTCTCTAATGCAGGAGTACGGTACAGGCTTCAGATTTTGGATTATGAAAACAGCTTCGCTTATTGGCTTTGGATGTTGAATGTAAGGACCAGCTTAAAGTACCCGTTTGCATGCAGGATTTACTTTCGCAGCTTGTTGTGGGTCTCGAACACTCAATTCACTCAACTGCTTTCGATCAAGACCCAAAACAAGCGATCTCAAGGCTCTGTTAACATTTGGCAATAGCCACTACCATTAGGCCGCAATATCTATAAGTCTCATGATCATGTTTGACTTGTATTTCCACTCCTACAGGTAGTCTGGGCTTGTACTTCTACCTTCTGGAGGAGTCTGAGAACTGGGAACCTTCACAGCTGGCATGGCTGCCGCTCACAGCCATCATGACGTACGTCATGGCCTACGGCACTGGTTTCGGGCCTGTCATCTGGATTCTTGTAGGTGAGCATCGCTGGCTTTGGCTTCATCTTCTTTATACTCGTAGATGAGCTTTGCTGCAGCATCGGCCTCGTCGTCTTTATACTCGTAGATGAGCTTTGCTGCAGCATCGGCCTCGTCGTCTTTATACTCGTAGGTGAGCGTTGCTGCAGCATCGGCCTCGTCGTCTTTATACTCGTAGGTGAGCTTTGCTGCAGCATCGGCCTCGTCGTCTTTATACTCGTAGATGAGCATTGTATATTGCTGGATTTGGCCTCATCGTATTTTTACTCTTGGGTTAGCAATGCTCGGTTTCCGGCAACTGTCTTCAATTTTCATATTATCAGTAATATCAGTACGTAATGTTTCACATTTAATATCGCATCAAATGAACATGTTGCATCACATAAACATGTCCCACCGTATGAACATGATGCACTGTAAAGAAAATGCTCAAGTTCCCTCTCCACCCCCCAGGGGAGATGTTTCCCCCGCTGGTGAGGGAGACCGCGGCGGGGCTCACCGTCACGGCGCTCTGGACGACATCCTTCCTCACCGTCCAGTCCTACGATCTGCTCATGGTGGGTCATGTTACTCATGGTGGTCATGTTACTCATGGTGGTCATGTTACTCATGGTGGGTCATGTTACTCATGGTGGTCATGTTACTCATGGTGGGTCATGTTACTCATGGTGGGTCACGAGTTGAGTTACGCTGGACGTGTTGAGTTACACTGGACGTGTTGAGTTACGCTGGACGTGTTGAGTTACACTGGACGTGTTGAGTTACGCTGGACGTGTTGAGTTACACTGGACGTGTTGAGTTACGCTGGACGTGTTGAGTTACACTGGACGTGTTGAGTTACGCTGGACGTGTTGAGTTACACTGGACGTGTTGAGTTACGCTGGACGTGTTGAGTTACACTGGACGTGTTGAGTTACGCTGGACGTGTTGAGTTACACTGGACGTGTTGAGTTACGCTGGACGTGTTGAGTTACACTGGACGTGTTGAGTTACGCTGGACGTGTTGAGTTACACTGGACGTGTTGAGTTACGCTGGACGTGTTGAGTTACACTGGACGTGTTGAGTTACGCTGGACGTGTTGAGTTACACTGGACGTGTTGAGTTACGCTGGACGTGTTGAGTTACACTGGACGTGTTGAGTTACGCTGGACGTGTTGAGTTACACTGGACGTGTTGAGTTACGCTGGACGTGTTGAGTTACACTGGACGTGTTGAGTTACGCTGGACGTGTTGAGTTACACTGGACGTGTTGAGTTACGCTGGACGTGTTGAGTTACACTGGACGTGTTGAGTTACGCTGGACGTGTTGAGTTACACTGGACGTGTTGAGTTACGCTGGACGTGTTGAGTTACACTGGACGTGTTGAGTTACACTGGACGTGTTGAGTTACACTGGACGTGTTGAGTTACACTGGACGTGTTGAGTTACACTTATTTCCAAATGATTCATAAATTACCATATTACCCATTTTAATTCATCCGTGTCCGCAGGAGGGGTTGCAGAGCTACGGGTTCTACTGGTTTTACGCAGGAGTCTGCGCCCTCGCAACCCTTTTCTCCCTCACCATCGTGAGGGAAACTCGTGGCAAGACCCTCGAGGAAATCACGCAGCTCTTCATGAGGGCAGCACCGACCCTCGGGGCAGCGAGGGCTGAAGACTTGTAACGCTAACGTGTGATGGCCAGGTTTTCTTCTACACTCAAAAAATAAGAGAGACTTGAAATTTGTGCTACTGCTACGTGACGAAAGTGCGTTGCTATGTGTGGTATTAGAATAGAATAGAAGTGTCGGCGTTGAAGAAATAGGCCCATGGCCTGTTGCCGATTCTCAAACTTTTCGTGACTTGATTCACAAGGGATCCTCACATGTCGGTGACTCGAAGCGAGAAGAAATGTTGTCGCATGGATGTGTTCCAACTCTGTTTTCTTAGTTTATAGCCGTGGCCCCTGGTGTTGGTTCTTGTTTCAAATTCTAGTAATCCTTCTGGGACCTTGTATAAGCCATGATTATACTTGTATACTTCAATGAGGTCCCCACGCAGACGTCAATAATGGAGGCTTGGAAGCTTCACAATCTTTAATCTTTCCTCATAGGACTTGCCTTTCAAGCCCGGAACTATCCTTGTTGCGCGTCTTTGAACACTCTCTACTAAATTTTTGTCCTTTTCAAATTTCGGTGACCACACGACGTTTCCAAACTCCAGGTTCGGGCGCACCACAGCAACAAACAACTGCTTCATCGTTTCTAAATCTAAGAACTTGAAAGAGCGTCTGATCAGTCCAAGTCGTTGATTGGCTTTATTAACTTGACCTTTTTTTCGAATTACCTGAAGTGCTGATGATTAACTTCCATTATAAGTGTCATTCACTTTTTAACTTAATTGATGTAATATTAGCAAAGACGAAACCCATTCGTGATTTTTTTAATCAAGTAAATCTTTCATACAGCACATCTATCATTTCACTCTCAATCGGCTTCATTCCCCGAGAAAGTCGGAAAATTGATCGAGTAATGCCGAATGATTTCACAACTATTTCATTGAACTACAAAACTTCGCGTAAATTGCAATATTTTGCTCTTCAAATCAGTGGAAAAATGGAGATTAACCTGAGAAAAAGACATAATTTTCAAGCCTAGCCATGAAATGAAGCTCCTAAATGGTAGAAAGAGTACTGTTAAAATAAATAAAGTAATAATAAATGAAGTTCTTTTTCGAAAAATAAACAATCGTTTTTTAATATTCCGGTAAATCCTTACTCATCACAGATCTCAATGCAGTGAGAAGGAGTTAATTTTCAATGTTTATTTTAGGTTGTTCCGTAGAAGCAAGTCCGTCCGTATAATTTCACGTTCTTAAAATGCGCCACAATTAGAATTTTCAGTATGGATGAGGACGATAATGAAAATAAACAGACGAATCATTTTTTGTTTCTTTGTCTAAGTTTCGATGTTTCATAATTGAAACATATGTGTACAGTAACGCCAATGCTACTGAAGTTTCTAGCGGAGAACTTTATACATTTCATCAATATTTCCTTGTATAGCAAGTTAATCACCAGCCTGAATTAAAGTTATTTTTTATTCATTTGTCAGCGTTATCAGGATTAATTAGTTTAATTTTAAATGAACTTGGCAATATTGATGAATATCTTGAAAATAATCTGCTTGGGGAAGTGTGGAAATATAGAATGGAATGTTTCGAAAATAAAGATTCCACTATTAACCCAATGATAATATCCGTGACAGAAAGGTGATAAGTTTTAATGATTTTGCGTATGAAAAGGATCCAAATCCCGTTGATAATTTTTACACATGTCCAAGGCAGGAAAATTTACATATCACAGTCCAACAAGGCCTCTGGAAATCATTAATTCTATTCAAGAAATCATTCGTTGAAAAAATATGAATAGAAACAAAAAATATTCATTCGAAAAATATTCATAATGATCGCGTTGCTCGTGATTACACGCTTTGTAAAGTTTAAATAATAGTGCAAAGATACGTACAATATAACTAATAGCTGTGCGATCGGTACGATCACACAGTTTTTAGCCATGAGGAGGACTTGAAATTACGGAGAAGTTTAGATAGCACTGAGCGCCAAGGGTAAATTATTCTCGCATCCCGGGAGCACAAAATAAAACACGTAGGTACGTATAACTAACGAATTCCCATTTACAAATATCAAATATAAGAATCGGGAATGTGAGTGAACCAGTGAGGTTTAGTTTCATTGCTTAATAATTGATAAAAGTCACTCTTGTATAGATCGAATCAAATTTCCTAGACCAAAATAAGTTTCCATGAAAACGTTTATAGCCATACTCGCAACCAGCGGTTCAAATGTTCAAGACAGTTAATCTGGATTTGTCTTGACCAGACAAAGCCATCTAATCGATCGCTCAACAATTCTCGCCTGGAATGCGAGGCGCGCACACTTTAACGAGAGGTCAAGGCTGAGGAACGACTTGTATGTCGGCGTAGCCATGGTAGTCAGTCGCTGCCTGGTATAACGTGATGTACCGTCCCGCCACGCTGGTGTTGGTGACGATGGTGTACGTCGACCACGCCGTCGGGGCACCGTCAACTCGTCCTATTTTTTGACCGAGGTGAAAGTCACTCGTGTTGCTGAGGATCACGTCCATGTCAATAATGTGGCGTTGTGAAGCCGTGGCAACAATCACCGCATGTACTCGAGTGGTCTGTTGCAAGTCGATCCGCGAGAAGCTGTTTGATTGAAAATTCGTAACGAAGTATGCGGGGTCTGCACAGGCGTATCCATTGTTGGGGACTAATCAATAAATAAACATACTGACCCCGAACACTTGGACAATGATCGCAAATAAAAAATGAATAAAACTAAAGAATAAAGAACTATAATAATAAATGAACGATAAATGCAAGAAAACAAATTACGAAACTATAAAAACTATAAGCCGTGTGTCTATCTAGCCTTTCACTTTCAACTCTTGAGAATCCTAGGTTCGGAGCCTCGCTGAAAAGCAAGAATAAATGCAAATTAAAGACTTGAATTAACGCAACCTGAAAAATGAATATAGCACACATAAACAATGAACAACATAAATAACAATACACAATATTACGAGAAAGGCCACCACTATATCCACTGAAGATGAACACACGATAAACAATGCAATCACTAACCTCACTTAGCAATGACAAATTACATGGCGCATCTACACGAGGTGACGTAATAATTGACTCAAAAAGCAAAATGACAAAACCCGTAGCCTAACTATCTATGAAATTATATCTAAAGGCGGTCCCTAACACCATCGGTAGCAGACGTCGAGTAGTATCCCCACACCAGAGGCCAGTAATTGAAGGATGAGTTTGTCCTGACGATGTCCCGGGGGTCCCCCCACGACGTGTAGCAAGCGTCGTACGTTGTGGTGGACGCAGACGCAGGATGGCCCGGCCAGCGCACGGCGACGTAGGCTTTGAACAGCGCGCACGTGCCTGTACCTGTTACCGACGTGATAATATTTTCAATAATTAAATAGATATTTCATGGCCGACTATACTGCTATTTCAGTGAAGAGGTCATCAACTTACGGTCAGTGGGCCACACACTATTAATGCTATTGATTGTTTATTATTGATATCTTTTAATTTCATACATTCCATAGAATGCGTTTCTAATATATGGAATATATTATCTTTTTAATCTGAACCGGCATGAATGTCTTGTTTACTTGCGTACGTTAAGCAATTTGTTCAATATTTTGCCCAGTTGTNAGGGGAAATTGTGACACCGAGAGGGACGAGGGGAAATTGTGACACCGAGAGGGAGAAGGGGGAATTGTGACACCGAGAGGGAGAAGGGGGAAATTGTGACACCGAGAGGGACGAGGGGAAATTGTGACACCGAGAGGGAGAAGGGGGAAATTGTGACACCGAGAGGGACGAGGGGAAATTGTGACACCGAGAGGGACGAGGAAAATTTTCACCCAATTGAGGCAGTGAGTAAATGTTATGCGAATGCTGGATTTTGTGATGATGTTAGAGCCTGATTTCATGACTTAATTACTGTCTGCCAAGTTTACATTTTCTGTTTCCTATTCATATAAATCAAGAAACAAAAGCAGGTATTCAAGGTTGGTAAGTGAACCTTACTACAATTCTAACACTCTAATACGCGATGAATTACCACAGCATATTTCACCAGCTGTAGCACGCTGTGTCAGTCCAACTTTAGACTGCTCCTGAGCAAAAAAAAAAAATAATTTTTTAGACCGAAAATAAGTTTGAGTTGGACATTCTTCATAAATTTGGACGGGCTTAAGGCATTAAGGCAGCGGAACGACTTGTATTTCGGCGTAGCTATGGTAGCCAGTCGCTGCCCAGAATGTCGTGATGTAGCGTCCGGCCACGCTGGTGTTGGTGACGATGGTGCACGTCGACCAGTGCGGCGGGGCACCGTCAACTCGTCCTATTTTCTGGCCGAGGTTGTAGTCACTCGTGTTGCTGAGGATGACGTCCATGTTTGCCATTTCCGAACCCAAAGTTGTGGCTATGATTACAGTCTGCACTCGAGTGGTCAGTTCCATGTCTATCTGCGTGAAGCTGTTAGGCTGACTCTGCGTAGCGAAGAAAGCGGGGGCTGCGCAAGCGTATCCATCGGTAGCAGACTTCGGGTCCAAGCTTCCCCAAACAGAGGAGTAAGTGAAGTGGGAGTTCGTCTTGACGATGTCCCGGGGGTCCCCCCACGACGTGTAGCAAGCGTCGTACGTTGTGGTGGACGCAGACGCAGGATGGCCCGGCCATCGTACGGCGACGAACGCTTTGAACAGCGCGCACAAGCCGTTTCCTGTTCCGTTAGTAAAAACGTATAAAACTGGTATTTCATGGTCATTCAAACGATTTAATTTTCTCCAATAAAGATGAACTCATGAAGCAGTTATAGAAATTGATATTTTTTCTTCTTCAGTCCAATTAGAATCCTTTGAACCTCAGCATCAGGTAAGAACAAAATAAAAAAAAGATTTCATGGAGCAGTGCAGCAGAGGTGACGGTATAACGGCCCGCAACCCACGCAAGCGTCTCACGCTACCATAATATGTGTACTCGTGATACTTTACGAAAATAAGTTCTTCGTTACACGTAATTCCTTGATACAAAACTTGTAATAAAAACTCGTCACCAATGCTTTTAACTTGCCGAACGTTTTGAAGCAAAGAAAAAAAGGCTGCAAAAATGCAAAGAAAAAAATAAAACTGAGCAGTTTTTCGCATTGTATATTTTTCGTAGAATTTTCATCCATTGCACACATGCAGATCAATTGCACTCTAGTTAATACATTATACATGTGTCATACCGTTGCGTATGCAGAAGAAGTGGCAGTTGACTTTCTGAAGGCACAGGCTGCTGCAGGCTACTCGTGGCCTGGTCGAGGCTGTCACTGCGGTAGTTAGGAGGCACTCGTTCTTCACGATATTACCGCCAACCTGGCAGGAAATGAGGTTTGAAATTATTTGAATCTTTAATTAGGTTTGGAAGGGATTTTTCATTATTATGCTAAAATATACAGGAGGCTCATTTAAATGATGGATTTAAAGTTACATCAATCGTAATTTCCCAATTTTCTTGAACCAGATGAAATTTTTGTGTAAATATCTTTAAAAAGATCATCGATCGCGTTTGTTACTTATTGCACTGTGGTGAAACTTTGGTTCTGAAATTTTTACATCAATATATGTATGTTCGGGTGCACCTCCTATAGTCCTATGAATGTGAATACTGTCAGATATTTGACGAATTTTCGCTCAGTGGAACCAATCGGCGTCAATATATGTCGTTCAATGAACCGGCAATCAATGTATAGATTTCAAAATCCTTTTTTTCAAGTTCGAACCCTGTGAGTCGTTTATATTTTTGAGTAAAAGGAAATTTTTATTCTAGCCCTGTCGTACAGCTTCCCGGATTCTTTTCTTTTAAATAAAAGTTTGTTATTAATGAATATTCCCAAAGAGTGCTGTGACAAATATGTCGTTGAATTAAATCATTCATTTTTACATAGGAATCTTTACAACATTTCTGTTAATCCCATTGAACACGAAATTTTCCCACACATTTCACTTAGAAACATTTTTGTGCAAACGCCATTCAGATAGAACGATTCCGAGAATATCTTTTGTGAAAAATATAAATATTATGAAATTATTGACCACTTTCAACAATCACCTTGAAGAAGAAGTCCGCCACTTGGGCCTGGGTCGTGCACGCCAACGCGGTCATCAGGAGAGCCAACTTCGGGGAGAAATACTTCGTGAACTTCATTGCTCTGCTCCAACGAAGGTATTAACTCGGGAACGAAAAGTACGTTTGCTAAAACTGCTATCAGTAGCCTAAGTTTGAATTTGTCCGTATTGATGTGAATAGATTTATTTTGTTATATAATTAAACTCCGTGAGAAATGAGAATAAATGAGGCGTGAGTTATGTACAGATAAGATACTTATACATATAGTGAGTATATCGGCCTACCTGGATTGGAGTGCTAATTGAGTGAACGTTAACGCGTTCGTCCTAAGTTCATACTGACTTCTTCCGGGTTTAGACAAGCTTATAAAGACGTCACCAAGGTTGTTGGGGAATAATCAATAAATAAATAAGCACTCTCTGTCCCCGGACACTTGGCCAATGATCGCAATTAAATGATGAAGAAAAATTGATGAATTAAGAAATATAATAATAAATGAACGATAAATACAAGAAAACAAAACTATAAAAACTATAAACCGTGTGTCTAGCAAGCTTTCACTTTCAACTCGTAAGAACGTCCTAAGTTCGGAGCCTCGCTGAAAAGCAAGAATAAATACAAATCAAGGACTTGAATTACCGGAACTCTAACAAATGAATATAACAGACGAATAAAAACTAATATAAAAAATAATATTAAATATCACCAAAAAGGCCACCATTATATCAACAGGAAGTTTAACACACGATAAACAATGCAGGTACTAACCTCTGTGGTGGATCACATAACAATACTTGGTTACTTGGTTAAGATGAGGCGCGTCACCGACTGAAGTATTGGCGCCCACATAACAATGACGAGGTGCATAGCGGGTCTACACGAGGTGACTTCATAGTTCACTAAAAAAGCAAAATGACAATCCTAACTATCGATGAAATTATTATATTTAAAAGCGGTCCCTAACAAGGTGATAAGTCTCTACCAGGTACAACAAGGATGGCTAAAACAAGGATATGTTTATCAAAATAGGGATGGAAGAACTGTCTTCTAACCAGGAATAAATTATTTGAATGTGGAATGAGTCTAATTGAACACAAAATAATAGTTAACAATCTACATTTTACACGTCCTTCCTCAGGAGGAAGTTTTATGACGTCCTCGATCATAACAGAAACCTACAGCTGACTTTTTATTACAACGGATGGGGGTAATTCAGCCTGAACAATTGATCGCTGGCTATAGAATACATAATAATAGTTATATAGAATATGTACATGAACGGTTAACGGTTATCAACGTATATAAGTATGGCGAGGTTATATATTAGTGGAAGAATAGGCTACACTTGCAGAAGCTGAAGAGAATTTTGAGAGTCCACCGTGCGACGGAAGTTCTTCATTAGTGCCGTCCTTTCATGGACTGCACGAATGAGGTCGTCGAACTTCCTCCGGTCGTGCTGTTCCAATATAAGGCACACGGCTGTACCAATGGAAGGCACGGGTGATGTCTGTCTCGGCCTAGGAGTTTCTGTGACGTCGCGAGTGACGTCTGTTGTAGAGCCTTGGAGCACGGTATAGGAGCACGGCCTTGTGACTCCGCAGACAGTCTGGCTCCGGCTACAACATGCAGATCGTCGACTCTTGTGNCTGGTGAGTGGTGCGTGCTGGTGAGTGGTGCGTGCTGGTGAGTGGTGCGTGCTGGTGAGTGGTGCGTGCTGGTGAGTGGTGCGTGTTCGTGAGTCGTGCGTGCTGGTGAGTGGTGCGTGCTGGTGAGTGGAGCGTATTCGTGAGTAGTGCGTGCTGGTGAGTGGTGCGTATTCGTGAATGGTGCGTGCTGGTGAGTGGTGCGTTTTCGTGAGTGGTGCGTTTTCGTGAGTGGTGCGTATTTGTGGTTAAGCTAAGTCTAACCTTACTTATAAGTCTACCGACACATTTATCGCCGAAAATACTATTTTTATCTAAATTTCTACTTACTTAAACGAGTGGAGGAAACAACGAATATGCTCGGGTTTATGAACGATTTCATGTTAGTTTTATTTCAAAGAAATGCTTACCGAATAGAACGATAAAATCTGGCGCTGATTTGCCACTATAATTATATATATTATAAATAATTAATTTACGGATTGAACTTTTCTGTTAATATATAACAGTTCATTTACTTATTGCGCTTGTTATAAGTTCATTATTAAAGGAAATGCAATACAAATTCAGCATATCAACACATACTCAGCCTGGTGTTGGTGCCTTCATGGTGCTGCACAGCGACTGTACGGGAGCTATAAAGGTACATTGCCGTCGTTATAGCTATTCGTTAAATAATGTGCGCTTAAAAATTACTTTTTAAAGACAACACTTCTTCAGAATCCAGTGTCTCCGATGTTATACACGTACAATGAATTTCTAAATTTTTATCAAATATTACAACAATTTTAAATTTTAATGTTTAGAATTAAAAAATTACATTTTTCAAATTTATTTATTCTGTAAATTGATTCATGCATTGCCTCCGACTTTACGCAAGTGTGGAAATTTTCAGATCGATTGAACAGGTAGAAGTGTATTGAATATCGATTATAAGATTTGTAGAAGACAAAATTATTTTTTTCGATTTTTTACGTTAAAAAAATACATCTTTTAAATTCAAAATGATATATTCAGTCAATCGATTCATGCATTGTCTCCAACTTTACGCAAGTGTGCAAAATTTCAGATTGATTGGAAAGGTAGAAGTTTGTTAAATATCGATTATAAGATTGATAGAAGACAGACAAACAAAGAAACAAACAACAAGAAGTGAAGTTAAAGAGAAGTGTTGTAAAATAACCCTGCTTCATATATTTACCGCTAGAAAACAAAGGATTATTGAGATTTGAACATATATCAGTATCATATTGACTTCAGATATCATCTTGTTGACATAAATAAGCAATAACTCCAATAGTATTGGTTGGATAGATCGATCCTTCCGAGCAGCGATACTTTTCCGAAAATGAGCATAGAAGTTCATTACTTGGACAAGAAAGGGATAATTAGATTCAATTATTCCAAATGCTTCGGTCAAGACATTGTCGTAGCAGTTGTTATAGCAGGTCTCGTATAGTGAAGTCGGGATGGTCGGAAATTGTGACGCTGAGTGGTAAGAGGGGAAATTGTGACACCGATTAGTAAGGAGGGAAATTTACACCCACTTGAGGCAGTGAGTAAATGTTATGCAATGTCGGATTTGGTGATTATGAGAGAGCCTGACTTCTTGACTTGACTACGGTCTGCCAAGTTCTTTTCTATTTCATATTTGTATAATGCAAAAAATAAATGCAGATGTTCAAGGTAGGTAAGTGAATGTTACGATGATCCTAACGCTCTATCCGTGATAAACTACGACAGTATATCGCACCAGCAGCAGCACGCTGTGTCCGTCCAACTTTAGACTTCTCCTGAGCAGAAAAATTAACTTCTAAGACCGAAAATAAGTTTAAGTTGGACATTTTTCATAAATTTCGACAGGCTCAAGGCAGCGAAATAACTTGTATTTCAGCGTAGCCATGGTAATCAGTTTGCACCTGGTAGAAGGTGATGTACCGGCCGGCCACGCTGGTGTTGGTGACGATGGTGTACGTCGACCACTCTGTCAGTGGCCCATCCACTCGCCCTATCTTCTGTCCGAGGTTGAAGTCACTCGTGTTGCTGAGGATCACGTCCATGTTAACAATATTGTAAGACCAAGTCGTGGCTATGATTACGGTCTGCACTCGTGTGGTCAGTTCCATGTCTATCTGCGTGAAGCTGTTAGGCAGCTCATCCGTAACGAAGTATGCGGGGGATGCGCAGGCGTATCCATCAGTAGCAGACTTCGGGTCGAAGCTTCCCAAAGTCGTGGAGTAAGTGAAGGGGGAGTTCGTCTTCACGATGTCCCGGGGGTCCCCCCATGACGTGTAGCAAGCGTCGTACGTTGTGGTAGTCGCAGACGCAGGATGGCCCGACCAACGCAAGGCGATGTAGGCTTTGAACAGCGCGCACAAGCCGTCACCTGTTCCGTTAGTAAGAACGTTTAAAACTGGTATTTCATGGTCATGCAAACGATTTAATTTTCTCCAATAAAGATGAATTCATGAAACAGTTATAGAAATTGATATTTTCTTCTTCAGTCCACTTCGAATTTTTCGAACCTCAGCATCAGGTAAGAACAAAATAAAAAAAGGTTTCATGGTGCAGTGGAGCGGAGGTGACGGTATAACGGCCCGTAACCCACGCAAGCGTCTCACGCTACCATTAATTATATATGTACATACCCTTGATACTTTACGAACATAAGTTCACCGTTACACGGAAGTCCTCCATGCAAAACTTGAAATGAAATCTCTCCTCCGGTGCCCTTAACTTACCGATAGATTTGAAGCAAAGAAAAAAAAACTTGCAAAAAATGCAAAGAAAAAATGAAACTGAACGAGTCTTCGTACTGTACGCTTTTCGTGGAATTTTCATACATCGCACACACGTAGATCAATTGTACTCTATTTCATACATTTCATACCGTTGCGTATGCAGAAGAAGTGACAGTTGACATTCTGAAGGCACAGGCTGCTGCAGGCTACTCGTGGCCTGGTCGAAGCTGTCACTGCGGTAGTTAGGAGGCACTTGTTCTCTACGACATTACCGCCAACCTGACAGGAAATGAGGTTTAAAGTTTATTATCAATCTCTAACTAAGTTTGGAAGGGATTTTCAATTATTATGGCAAAACAGACAGGGGGCTCATTTGAATGATAGATTTGTATTTACATTAATCGCACTTTTCCAATTTCTTGAACCAGATGAAATTTTCGTGTGAATATCTTTAGAAAGATTGCGTTTGTTACTTATTGCACTGTAGTGAAACTTTGACTCCGATCAATTTTTATATCAATGTATATTCGAGTGCACTTTCTATGAACGTGAATACTGTCATATGTTTGGCGAATCTCGAACTATGAAGTCGGTTTCGCTAAATGCGACCAATATTTTTTTTCATTTTTGAGCCTCAGTAAACCGATTGTATTATAGTTTAAAAGGAGTTTTTTACTTCAGCCCTGACTTACAGCTTGCCGGATTCTTATCTTTTAAACAAAAGTTTGTGGTAAATGAATATTCCTAAATGCGCTGCGACATATATATCGTTAAATAATCGTTCTTTTTTACA